AATTTCATTAACAAAATCCATTTCACCTTACTGAAAGCATTGCATAAAACTACAAAAAATGTGTTGTATCAAACAGTATATTCATTTTTACGATTTTGTACATCGAAAAAAATTTAATGTACAAGCAAAAATTGTTTTATAGTATACCAAAAAGTTTTGAATATTAAAAAATTATATTCATATTTATCGTTTTTAAACAAAATAATAAAACAATGTAATCTAAAACTTGAAATATATGTACAGATACTAACTTGTCAATTAGATGATAACTTTTCCTATATATGTATTTTTTTAACAGCATATATATAAATATAGTACGTATATGTGCAACATGATAAAAATAACTTTTATTTTAACAAATACGATACCTATTTTTCACTGTATCAAAACACTTCCATGACTAATTATATATTCACATATTGGCATTGATTTCCTAGTGGACAAATCAAACCAATACTATTGGGGTGACTTTTACATGTGACTTCTACAGCCATCATTCGGGAGAGATCTAACAACTTTTCACTCTCACGCAAGATCGCTGAATAGGTATAAAGCACGTGTAAGGTGAGCTTTAGAAAACGTGCAGTCCTAACTAGTGTATACATATTAAACAAACATTCTTAATAATGTGCATAATAAACAAAAAGAAACTAATGTGTTTAACTATAAGAATAAATTAATAAAAACATAAGTCAAGAGAAACTAATGTGTTTAACTATAATAATAAATTAATAAAAACATAACTATATATACATTGGATTGGATGATGGCAACCCTAATAAAGCGAAGCACCTCGAGCGCGGTGTATTTTTTAAAATTTATTGGTATAATTGTGCTTAATTGCTGATACTCGGAAATTTGCTAACAATTAAAAGTGTCTGCAACCGCAGTGCTATCGAGTTCAATGATTTGAGTGAACCAATAATTAAATATACTTTGTGGTTTAAAAGTAAGACTTCGCCAGACAAGAACTACAATTACAGTTCCTTATGTTCTATTACGATATTTAAAACAAACTTTCAAACTAACTATTAAACTTTGGAAAATCAAACGAATTTTTTTAAGTCCAGTGTTTTTAAAGGGGTTGGTGTCATCACTGTACATGCTTTTGTTGTAAAATACCTAAAAGTAGACTATAAATTAATTTGAGATGATAATATTTGAAAAAGTAAACTTCAATAATTTTATAAAATATCATGTATCTAAAAATTTTACTTGATAATTCGAAATGGAAAGAACATCGCCGCAAACGTCTTCGATAAGCCAATCTGCAAAAAGAAAACTGGCTGAAACATCGCCTGACTTTTCGTTGCAAGACATCTTAAAAGCAATCCAAAGCAATTAAAGTAATGTCAATAAAAAAATGCAACAACAGCGTCGAAAGCAGACATCGAAGACATGGAAAAACAAATGTTGAGGTTTAAGATGAAAGTCGAGCAGTTAATAAAAGACATAAACATTGAGATGGACACTGATACAAAAATTTATTATAGTATAATTTAATAACTACTAATTTTTTGTAAATTATTTTTTATACGAGTATTAAAAATAGTTTTTTTTTAATATATTTTTAAATAACAAAGTAAATGTTATTTGACAATAAAAATAAAATATTTATTATTAACTGATTTTAACTTACAATTATTGAAAATAACACTGCACAATATTTAATCACCGTCAACTTGTGTTTTGTTTATTTTACAGCGACTAAGTATTTAGCGCTCACGGTTTCTTTGTCATCTTCAACTTAACGTTTACTGCTTGGATAATTTTATCCTGTGTATGTAAGGTTTCAAATGTAGAACAGTTAGCTCATGTCTTTGCTCTTTGTCAAGTATTACTATATTTTCGATATCTGATTTATACTGTTTATCCGTACAATGTTACATATTGTAATTTTATTTATATTGTAATAATGTATAATATTACATATTGTAATATTTTTTTGAAAATAATTTAAGGCAAATCTTGCATCATTTCTGTTTTATAGTTTTAAGTTCTTTTTTATGGCACTCATGAAATATTTCTTGATTACTCAAAAAGTGAAATAAAATTTCTACAATATCACTTATCACTTCTTATCACTTATTTGATTCCCTTCATAAGCGCTGGGTTAAGTTAGGTTAGTTTGAACTCAAATAATGTGTCATTTTGATACCACATATTAGCATTATTTAAACGCAGACTAGAGTTCAACGAACGAACAACGCCGAAAGACACGACTCCTCAAGTGAAAGTGAACCAACCTGACAAATAGTCCGTAAATCCCTAGTTTTGTAGGCTGACAGCTCTGTCAAATCGCTAAGAAAAGATTTTGTGTTCTTTTAGCCAATGACAGACACTGATACATAGGGTAGACCCAGTCTCATAGAATATCTTCCTAGTATGCAGTACCATAGTGCTGAGTAGTTTACGCCTGAGTTGAAACAGCTATCTAGTACAATTTTTGTCCAGTTTTGACCAGGCCGGTCTTGAGATAAGACAGAAGGGTTCATTTGCCCAAATTTGTTTAGCTATGTTCAGATGTTTTAAATTGCCAGATTGGCTGTTGCAAATGCGACACCAATATCTCAGATATGAATGTCACGAAAGAAAACGCCTGCCTTGGCAAGCTTGTCTGCCTTGCAGCTGCTCGAGATGTTCCTGTGTTCAGGTACCCATGTGACATAGACACTTAGACGCCCAGTTAGCTCGTTAAGAAAAGCCTGACAGTTTCGAACTGTTAGGGATGTGCGTGAAGGGTCTATTAAAAGATTACGATATTTACATCAGAAATCATGTTGACTTATACCCAAAAATTTTACCAACGGTTGCCCGCAGTCCTGATCTTAACAATATTAAATATGTGCCAAATCAAATTGGGCAGCCAGATTGCAAAAACCATTACAAAAAATGAATGAGCAAAAGAAATATATTTTGGAAAAGTGGCGATTGTTTTTATCAATTCTACGCAGAATTGAAAACTGTACTAAAGCAAATGGATGTTATTTTAAAGGATTAAATAGTTTTAAATCTTAGCGCAGTTGCTTTTTTCTTTAAATATTTTTTTGAAATGTTAAATAATTAATATAAAGAACAAAATTTAAGTTATTTTATATTAATTTTGTACTTTACTTTAAAAATAAATTTGTTTTGGCAAGAAATTGATGTACTTTGTTTTTTTTTTGTTAAAAAAAAAAAATAAAAAATATATTAAAAAAAAATATTAAAAAAAAATATTAAAAATAAAATATTAAATACTAGCGGACCCGACAGACTTCGTTCTGTAAAAAGATTTAGAATGTGGCAGTTTTTTGTTCCTACCTGTTTTATAGTAGGAGCAAAAAAATCTCCTGAACAGAACAGTCACCCTGGTGTGTGGGGTTCAGAGAGTTTCAAACTAAGAGACGAACTAAGGGTTCAAACCTGATTGGAAAATAATCTAATCAGTGGAAACCTAAAGGTGACAAATATATAAAATGTGGTATAGTGGAGATGATGATCTGCAGAGGAAGTCATGGGGATTTTAATAAACATACCTATTCTGGTTATGTCCTTGTCTTTTTATATGTAAAAATGAATCAAAAATTGTGTTGGTAAGCGCATAACTCAACAACGCCTGGACCAATTTGAAATAAGCAATAATTAGATTTTTTCTCGCCGTAAAAACCATCCTTGGACTTCAACGAACATTTAAAAAAAAGAATTGACCAAATTGGTACAAGCGTTGTTGAGTTATGCGCTTAATAACACATTTTTCGATTTATTTTTATATTTAAGATTAAATAATAGAACATTATGTTTTAATTTTAAACATTTTGATCACGAAATCATATTTAATATTATTAGTTTATTATTATTAATATTAATATAAAGAAACTGGTGAATTTATATTATATCTACAAAAGTATAAGCATTATTTATAAGTATAAGTGATTTATTTAAATAATAATAATAAGAACTCGAATATGTATATTATTATATATATTAATATATGAATCATGATTAATTATTAAACGACATGGTGTTTATTAAAATTCTTCAAAACAAAAACATTTGTATGTATTTGATTTCTGTGCTTTTAGTTCTGCTTTAACTTGTTTAAGCAAAAATGTAAAGATTTCTGTTAATATTACACTAACATAATTTATTGCCTTGGTTAGTTATGGCAAATTGCTGTTGCGAACCTCGAGTGTGTCTTTTTGAATCAATCTCTATAATCTCCCTTCCAAAATTGAATAATTGTAAAAAAATTTAAAAAGAGAAAGAATTTACAAATAGAAATCTATTTTTTTATATCATTTATATTTTCATGTCGCATCCATAGCAAAAAACCACTATTGCTTATATTATTTGCAGGGTATTGTCACGTGCAAAACATCAACCTATGCCATACCATGACCATGGTACGTGATACTATATCGCACCCTTCCCGAGGTGAACCTGTTTTGATGTTGATAATTTATTGACGTAACAGAACACCATGGATCCAGAGAGAAACACTAACCCATCATCTCTGAACGGAAACCTCCGAATAGCTGGCGCCCTCCGAATGTAGGATAGCAAAATCGCCTACGAACGCTTTATTTCAAGTTTTTTTTTACTTTTATTTTTAAAAAATTCGATAAATTTCATGATCATCATCTTCAGATGACAGATGTTTATAAATTTCGGTTTTGAATATACCAAATGTGTTTCAACAGTTAAATAAACTAAATCTATTATTAATTACAGTGATTTTGTTACTTTGACAATTTATTTGGTGTTATCTATTCGTGACTGTTCTTCATATTGAGTGTTACAAAGCGAAAATTGTAGAAAAAGTGAATCTCAAATAACAGTTATAGTAGATTTACCAATTGAAAAATTTCTGTGCTTTTGGGATGTTTCAGTTTTGCTTGAGAAATCGGTTGAATAAAATAAATGTCCTTTGCAAATGTCCTTTCGATTATTGCAAAGGAGCCCCAATTTTGATCAAATGCAAAAACATAGCCAATAAAGTTCAAGCCGTTATGACTTACTTGCTTGTATGATCCACCATTTCCAGGAACAAATATAATAGGCAGTCCGTTTAAGTTGTTTTGATACCCATCACTTCGAAAAGCACCCTCATAATAATGGAATAATCCATATTGTGCATATAACTTATTGTCAATTTTCACTTCCTATTTTAATGACAAAAATAAAGCACATTATTTATAATTCGAAGAACTACTACAGCATATTTAAATTTGTTTATCATTTTTACCGAAAACTGTGGCTTTTGAAACATATATGTCATGCGGCAAGCATTTTCCTCCACTTCAATATAAATGTTATATATGCCATATAGAAAACATATAAAACTTATTAATAAAAAAGCAACAAAAACATGTTTTAACATAACTTCGATCATATATAATTTGCACAATTAAGAAAACACATTCCTACAATCTTTTAGAGCAAATACGACATAATTCCAACAAGTTTATAAAACTATTTATGCCGTTCGCAATTTATTTATTCTGCTTGCATTTATATTATTTACTACTCATAATTATGAAAAACTCAGATGTGTTCAAAACTAGTAAAGTTCTTGCAGAGAACAGGGTTGTTATTTATGCAAAAAGTAAACAAATTAGTATGTTGAAGCAGGATATAGACATGTTTTCTGACAAGATATGAGTGCTACAAATCGCACCGTATTTAATATTTAAGTTTAAATACCAAATTTCGGTCTAAGACATGTATGCGGTAAAATTAAAACTTTTCAATTATATGTTAAGTCTGCACACATGTCTCTTTGTGTATATCGAAATCTGCAGACTTCTCATAATTTAAGATTTTAGTTGTGCGTCGAACGAGCAAAGTTTGCGGAAAAAAATTGTAAAATAATTGAAAAAGTGGTAGACATTTATTTTCTTTAAGAAAAGTAAATTTGAAGAAAACAAACAATTTTTAAAGAAGTTTGTATACTTAAAAAATTATTTTGTGCTAAAAACATTTTTTAAGTAAGTTTCTATATTTAAAAAATTATTTTGTGAATAAGAATATTAAAATGCAACATATCAAAGAATTAAATTAAAAATAATTTTAGATTTAAGAATTAATATACGGAAATATGTTTAATTCTAAGAAATATGAAATTTTATATAATGAAATAATGAAATAAATAATATGCTATTATCATCATCTTAATTCCTTCAGTTTCGATTATTGTTTTGCACTCTGTACTTGCTACGCTGTTTTTACGAACGCTGTAGGAAATAAACTATATGAAGTATGCATACCTTGTTTCAAAGTGTATAGCAAAGCTTATACTTGAACTTCATACTTGGTGTGCAGATATGTAGCATCGTTTATATCATATTTTAGTACGTAAATTTGTACCAGCTTATTACGGATTGAACTTAAGCACTATATAGACCATATAGTTAAAGACATGCCTGCGCACGAAATATGCAGAACAAGGTATGCTGACTTCATTTTGATTTATTTTGTACAGCGTTTATAACAACAGATGATTAGGTGCAGATTGCAAAATAATAATGAAGCTGAAGAAATTCTGATGATAATAGCAACATGTTTGTACCAAGAAGAATTTTTCTTAGTAAAACTAAAACCGAAAAAGAGACGACAAAAAAACACATTGTTTTTTAATTCGAGTTTGATCAAGACTGATCGTTTTTATTGTAATAACTTACATTGTGCAACAGGGTTGCCAATAATACAAAAACTTTCGTTATTTATGAACATTATATATTTTATGTTATTTTGTGTTGTTACCCAACATCCCGGCCTCCTTGAAAGGACTTTCAATAGGTAAAATGGCTAGTTTGTGGATAGGTCTGCGAATGATGCCCTTTGAGGTACGTACGTCAACTACTCTGACATGCTCGTCCTTGCCTGGTATGACCTTCAGAACTCTTCCGAGTTGCCAATGTAGTGGAGGCACATTGTCTTCATGAATTAACACCATTGCATTGGGCATGATATTTGGTATTTCACAGGTCCATTTTGTGCGCATCTGTAGCTCATTTATGTATTCATGAGACCACCGCTTCCAAAATGATTGTTTCAAACCGATGATGAGGGACCACTTGTCGAGCATGTTAGTATTAGCAAATTCCGTCCGCTCCGGTAACGCCTTTAGAGAGCACCCAATCAAAAAATGGGCAGGAGTCAATGCTTCGTAGTCGCTAGGATCCGGCGAAAGTGGTGTCAATGGTCGAGAGTTGAGAATAGCTTCTATCTCGGTTGTTACTGTTGACAGCTCCTCAAATGTTAACTTAGTAGTCATCAAACTTCTATATAAGTGCCCTTTTGCGGATTTAACTGCAGCCTCCCAAAGACCGCCAAAATGAGGTGTTTTGGGCGGAATAAAGTGAAAATTAATGAATTCAGACGCGCAGTACTGAATGATAGACGATTGGTTTATTTTATTAAACAAGAATGACTTTAGTTCTGTCAATTGATTTGAAGCCCCAACAAAATTGGTTGCGTTATCGCAAAATATATCACTTGGTAAGCCTCTCCTGCCAATCATTCTTTTTAATGCTGCAATGAACGCGTCTGTTGACAAACATGATACAACTTCGATGTGTACTGCTTTTGTTGCCATACAAATAAAAATGGCGATATAAGTTTTGTATGGAGGCTTCCCTCTTATACGTAAATACGTGTTGAATGGTCCACAAAAATCTATACCACAGCGCGCAAACGGCCGTGACGGTGTGAGACGTTCTACCGGTAAATTGCCCATCATCTGTTGCAATAGTTTTGGCTTATAATGCACGCAGTGAACACATTGTCTGACTACTCTTCGAGCAACCTCTCTGGCGTTTATAATCCAAAACTCTAAACGAATGAGTGCCACTAGTGCCTTAGGTCCAGCATGATAGTTCTTACGATGCAAGTAACGAACATAACGTATGACGAATTCAGATTTGCTAGGCAGCAGGATAGGATGTTTACGTTCTTTTGCAAGATCAGCCAATTCTAATCGTCAACCAACCTTTATCAGCTTATACCCACCGGTATCTTTAATAAATGGGTTGATGTATTTCAATGAACTTTTTGTTATAGATCCTCGATTCAATAAATAAATATCTTCAGCAAAGTACTGAGCTTGTATATTTGAAATGATGAATCGGAAGGCGTGGTCTAATTCTTCATGAGTAAGGACTTCTGTAAAGACATTGCGGTTGAACTTCTTCTTATAATGATGATACCAATGAAACAACCAAGCCAGTACACGAACAGCCGTTGTATGTGAGCTATACTTATCAATAATATCTATGACATAATTGGTTGATACAGTTACCTTGAATGCTGCTTTTCGTTTTTCCTTATTGACTTCTTCAAAATCCAAGTTGTCGTTCTTGTTTGCAGGCCACTTATACATCTCTTGACGAAGAAATGAAGGTCCTTTAAACCAAATAGAATTAGTGAGATCCTTAACAGTGCTGCCTCTTGACACAATGTCTGCTGGATTACAATTTGTGTGGACATATCACCAATGTGAACCTGCGGTGAGGTCTTGAATCTCAGAAACTCTATTGCCTACGAAGGCAGACAGTGTGGCCGAATGCATTTTGAGCCAATGTAATACGATTTGGGAATCAGACCATAGATAGACGTCCGTATCAAACTTTTCGAAGAGCGATTTAATTTTGTTGTAAAGTCTTGCAAGTAGCAGTGCTTCACAAAGTTCTAATTTTGGAAGCGATTGTTTTTTTAGCGGAGCTACTCTAGATTTGGCTACGAATAGTTGAACCTCTATGAGGTTGGAATCATCTATGACGCGAATGTAAATGCTGCAACCATATGCGCGAATCGATGCATCGCAGAACCCATGGAGCTGAATTGTTTTTGCTTTTGGTTTTAGACAGTACCTTGGAATGGTAATGGTGTTCAATGATGACAAATCGTGACAAAGCCTTTCCCATGCTGAATGTAAATTTTGAGGAATGGATTCGTCCCAATCCAATTTAAGCAACCATAGCTCTTGCAATAATATTTTAGTTGATATGGTTATCGGAGCTAATAGTCCTAATGGGTCGAATAGTGACGACGCAATTGATAAAATAGTTCTTTTTG